AAAATCCTCTGATGTCCCGCTTTGAATTTCTTGTTTCAAATTCCAATTCCATTCAATTCAATTTACAACTCCTATATGCTGATTATTAAATTCAGATTTTTGCCCCACCTTGATTCATACACACATTTTCTCATGATTCAGCTATAATGACAGAACTGAAGTGATTTTCATCTGTCAGATTGCGCATCAGCAGGTGTGGCAGGTGCACACCCAGAGTCAAGAGACGCTTCAGGGCTTCAACATCACCATCACACAATGTTCATGTTCACATCAAGAATATTAGGATTATTATTTCTTATCACATACAAAATATTTCTTTTTTTATTACACAGTCACACCACCAAATAGTTTGCAGAAAGACTGACAAAGTATTTTTAAGAAAAAACACAGTAATCCTTGTTTTATTACATCTTTGAAAAATGTTTTACATGTAGAATAGAATATTACTAAATGTACATTCATGTGGAAATAAAGATGGCATTATATATTATTGTATTAAAGAGCTGATAAAACTGGTAGAATAAATAGACAAAATAAATAAATAAATACTTAAAGCATTAAAATTTAAAAATAATGCAAGGCTATGTGGATAGTTCACATTTTACAGTGCCACCCAGCCTCCCACACCCACTCATTTTACAGTGCCACCCAGCCTCCCACACCCACCTCCCACCAACCATGTTGGTTTATGACGTCACGCACATGGTGGAGTGATAACCGATTTTAATGAAACATTTTGAGATCGCATTAATGCTAGATGTTTTGACATAAATTACATACATGACATCTGAGGAATATTTCTCTTTTTTCTCAGTTTTTGTGGTAAAATGTATTTCCATATTCAATCATAGACTCGTTCTTGCATGGTAGAGCACGTTAGCACATGCGCAGTCTTCAAAAACGGTGCTTGAAATCTAAAGATACAAATGACATTTGTATGTATTCAATAAAAGACACAGTTTGTACTGAATGTCAGCTTGCTTATTTTGATCAAGATAAGGGTTGATTAAGTCCTGCAATCTAGAAACTATGTGCTTCTAACCACAGGTGGAGAGCTGTCATTCCAACCACACAACTGTTTGTTGGAATGATGGTTTCGGGAAACACCGGCTTGTTGAACTACGCTGATAATGACGGAACTTGCGACCATAGTTGGCTAACAATGCTTTCGGGAAACGCACCTCAGTGTGGCTCCACCTTGAGTTTTGCAGTTCCCCAGCTCCACACTGGTTTCGATCCCTAGCTCCACCTCAGGCCTCCAAGCCCCGAACTCTACCACATGCTGTCGACGCGTCGGATCCACCTTGACTCCACGCTCCCTCGGCTCCATCATGGCAAGTCATCCCTCAATCTTCGCTGGGCTCCCTCATCCCTTCCAGCTCCATCTTAGTCAGTCATCACCCTGGTTGCGCCATAGAAATCCAGTCCTCTGGCTATATAACTGTATACTGTCATATAACTGACATCTTGGGACGTCTTTTGACCATACGTCAACATCCGCCTTTTTAGGGTACCCTTTAAATTCGGTGAGATGACGTTATCGGATCCTAACCCTACCCCAGACCTAAACCTACCCTGTCACCTAACTGACGTTAAAGGTAAAGCGTCAGTTGTATGACGTCCCAGGATCGTCATGTAACTGACGTTAAAGGGTACCCTAAATCGGCGGATGTTGACGTATGGTCAAAAGATGTCCCAAGACGTCAGTTATATGACGTCTTGGGATGAGACTGTGTTAGCCTATACTCCCTCCACTCCTTCGGGTCCAGCGGGCTCTTCCTTCCCTCGCTCACTCCGGCTCCGCCTCAGTCTGCCAAGTCCCCATGCATCTCCTCCTCGACCCTGTGAGCCTCCCATTCCACTCCTGGGTCTTCTTCTCCTCAGCTCCACCTGGGTCTCCGCACCATTGTCTCCACCTCAGTCGGTTGGGCTATTGGCTACCCCCTGGCTCCTACCTCCTTCGGTTCTTCCTTGTGCATGCATCCTGATGGCACTGTTTGGGGTCACTTCCTGGCTCCTTCCACTGTCATCTCCTCCCTGATCCCTTCTTCCAGTTCCACATCCTCCTCTTCAGTCCCCTCCCACCCTCCTCTCTTTTTCGTTTTTTATAATTTCCTGTTCTGTTTCCGGTGTTAGCATTCGTTACCAAGGTTATTCATTGTTTGATGAATGCACTGCACCTGTTTCTCATTTCTTTTCATTGGTCAACATTTGTAAATACAGCCATGTGTTTGTAGTGTTCTTTGTCCAATAGTTCTTTGTGGCTATTTCAAGTGGTTGCTCTGTTTTTGTATTTGGAGTTTTATTTCAAGTTTTCATTCAAATCAACTGTTGCATTGAGATCCAGCCTTTATTTCATCCTTCCAGCAACACATTGCTGAGTGTTTCCAAAAAAAAAAAAACACTACTTTTACTACAACTACTGCTACACTGTAAAAAAATATTGTTGGGTTTAACTTAAAAAAGTAAGTAACCTGGTTGCCTTAAAATTTTAAGTCCATTGAAATGAAAAAAGTTAGTTACTACAATGAAGGATAATAATTTAATCATCAGAACTCAAAATGATATGTTATCTGAACTAAATAAACTATTTAAGTTGATTTGCCAAAAGAAAAAATGTTGTGATTACTAATCACATTACTAATACAATTTTTTTATAGTGATGATAATTTCATTTTTATGCTGTCATAAATCTCTACTGAGAAAAACATGTGCTGTTCTGAGCATGAGACAACATTTTCGGAAAAGGGTCAAAGTTGGTCATGGGGTGGAGACATTCTGCATGCATTTCACCTGGGGGCTGGGTGCTCCTCAGTGTTGCAATAACATAATTATTCAGTCTACGGTATTGGTGAACCAATGTGTAAACCATCCATCTTCGCTGTTTAAGTTGTACCCATGGAAATAGGACATACTGTCTTCATTCTGAGAACATTCCCTTAAAATTTTCTCCAAGCGATTTCTGTTGACTGATTTGAGCTGACATTATAGTCTTTTTAGAACTACTTTACAGCATAAATTTAAGTGTTCTCATATTTGAAGTTTGCAATGATTCTGTTCAATGTATTGTATAAAGCACTAAAATAAAGATGACTTGAATTGATGTGTTTCAGAGGACACATTTGGCCTTGAAGGCTTGCTGTGAAGGCTATATGTTGTCTTGTAGACCGCTTAAACGGTAATACATAAATAAATACATATTAGTATACAAATTATCAATTGATATTTCTGTTACATCAATTCCACTTACTTATTGGCAAAAAGCTGTTCTTTTCAATGGAAGAAATGCATTTGAATGAATTAACATTCAGTTTTTAAGTGAATAGGCCAATTATCATTAATTCCCTTACAGTGCATGTGCATAATTTAGTCACCTAACAAGATGTCAACACCATGAGCACTAGGAGAAGTCAATGGTTTCGCCCTCTCAGCAAACTCTCTCTTGATCATGTCATTAAAATGAAGGTAGTAAATGTATAACAGTTCAGTGAGCTGTTTGGCTGCATGTGTGCACAATAGTACAGACTCAACACTACTGACAGGACTCTGCCAAATTCCTTTCCACCCAACCCGACCCATCCTCCACCTCCCCTATCCACAAGCACAATCATAATTGCACCATGCTCATCTCTAGGCTTCCACACATTCCTGTAAAAGAGTTCTGATGTTACCTCCAGAAACATGAAATACAACTTTCTGTGAAAAACACTACCTTCTTTGTCCATTGTTTGTTTCAGCACTTATCACTAATCCCTTTCTGTTTTTCAGCAAAGAATGTCTAGCCTATACTTTTAGAAAATGACTCTATTAATGTCCTGAAATGTTACCTTAGAAAGAGGTGCTCTATCTTCAGAAGTTATAATAATCATCCTCAGAAGGCCATCAGACTAAATATTAAATGAATTAATTCATTAATTAGCTCATTCATTTCAATTCGTTTTTTTATATTAGATCTGCCAATTTTTCAGCTTTATTAAAAATTAATGAATGATGAATAAAAAAAAACAATAAAAAATAAATAAATTTAAATAAATAAATAAATAAACATATATATTTGACTGATTTTGTCATATGGTCACAGACACAAAAATGAGAAGTGCCATAGAAAAACTGAAGAGTCGGCTAGTGGTACCCTCAATGGCCAAACAAAAATACAACAACTAACCACCTCAACAACACCAAAAAAACATAAAAATCAACAGACTGGAAGTCTAGTAGGTGTGACCCGGGAATACTTACTACTTTATAAGTTAATTTTATGGCCTAATAATTTATATCACTTACCTTACAGTTTGTTCAACAAAAACACTGAAAGCACGTAATAGTATAATTATTTTAATTATTTGTGATGTTTTTGTAGCTCTCATGAGTCTCTCTCAGTCATTTTTTTTTCAGTCTGAGTCACTCTCTTATCAGTGTTTCATGAGTTTGAAGGGAAGCTTGTTTCCTGTCCTTTTGTTGTTCTCCTTTTCTACTTGTTTTAACCCCGTCCTCCCGATTTCCTTAAATACTTTGCATACTTCCATACTCTGCAAAAGACTTAATGCATGACTTGCATGAAATGACTTATCAGACAGTGAAAATCAAAAGCCAGTGACATACAGTACAGAGCCACAAAACATGAAAGGTAATAATTCATTTTATTAATAAATCACGCCCTACGTGAAAAGGCGTGCACATGTGAGTGGTTTCAAGCTGAGATTGCTTTTGTATTATCTTTTTTTTTTATTATTCCTGGACTTAACTGTGATTAAATGCAAAACCTAAAAAAAGTTTCTTTTCTTTGCTGAATGTGTAAATGCATTGATGACTGTCCGTATAATCACCTCCTGCACTCCACCCAAAAAGATGGAGCTTAATAGTGTCATGCATTAATCATGTCTGGAAACTCTATAACAGTTGAAAGTCTACTCTGTTAAATTATAACCTCCCTCTTTCTCTCTCTGTCACTCTCTCCTACACACAAACTCAGTGGGAGTTTTGAGGGGCAGTTTGGGGTGGAGTTTAAGCCTCCCAGCCAGAGCTTCCCAAGCTAAGGAAGTCAGAGCCAAAGCAGCATAGTTTGACCTGTTTAGTGTACTCAAGACTACAATTCAGCCCTATTGATACATCAAGTGAGAGGCTGAGGCAATGCCACACCCATAATAAAGACTTCAATGACACGAGAGTCGTACCGCGCCCAGAGGACTTTATCCGAGCTCGTCTGTAAGACACACTCAGTGTGGTGGAGTCCAGAGAAATTCAACTACTGCAGATCACATACACACACACACACACAGCAGGATGTATGAGCGCGCGCTATTCGCGGTCTGGCTGCTTACTTTGGTAAGTTACATTTTGTTGGCTACTTTTTAATTTTTTAGGTCATATAGGTGTAGGCTATTGTGGGCCTACCAGAATTCTTACCGTATCCTTGCTGATTTACCTTGGCAACCTTAGTTTCCGCTAGTTAGTTGTTTAGCCTGCCTCAATACTACACTGCAAACAAATATTTTCTTAAATAAAACTAAACGCTATTCAAATAAAATAGAAGAAAGGATACTTCTTTTTTAAATATGTTTAGATAAACGTCAATATTTTAATAGTTGTATAAGTAAAATAAAAAGAAAATGTATCCTTAAAACAACAGAGCAAGTATCTTGGCGTATCATTTTTATTCTCAAATAAATGTATAATTAGTTTTAAGCATGTTTAGAAATGTTTTCTTTATTTGACGTTCTTCCGATATTAGAAGATTTCTTTCTATATAATTTCATTTTTATTCATAACAGTTGTACCATGTGATCACGTTTTATTGTAGTCAGTAACTGTGCTATGGTAATTTGGTTTAAACATTACCCAGATAGCAGACCTACACTGAATCAACATTGAATCAACGTTAATAGCCTACATTAGCCAAAATGAGGAGCATGAATGTGGATATGATTAAAGTTTTAAATGAAGAAACAAATGGATTGACATGCATGTCTAAGTTGATTCAAGCTGACCAAAAATCAATATTGATTCAATGTTTGTCTTTTTCAACGCTGGAAATCGTTGAAATATCAACACTGACCCAATATTATTTAGCATTTAATTTTCAACCTCTACCAAAATGAGGATTCTGATGGAATTTCAACATGGAATCAATGTCATCTTGCTTTCTGGGTACCATGCTTTATTTATATATATATATATATATTTTTAATTCTCCAGTGATAATGAAACATTATGATTTTTTTACTACTTTCCCCCAAAACTTTACAAATAAATAAATAAATAACATTCTCACTAGTATAGCATAATGAAGTACTCACTAATTAATTATCTGCAGTTGAATAGTCTTGTGATTGATTGATTATTTTTTTCCTTCACCAAATGGTTGGGATAATTGGTCAACTTAGTATCATCCATAAATTAAAATATTTACATTTAATTCATTTGCTTTGAAGAAGAAGTATAGTGATATTGTTAATGTCGTCATTCATTCATTCATTTCAATTCACTCACCACTAATGTTGATTAATGAGAAAGGTGATTATTATTAGATTATAGGCTAATGTTTCTCATTTATACAGAAACAATGTCCGTGGTGGATCAGTTTTTGTTAATGATGATTCCACTAAATCCCAAATGCAAGTTTCAAGTGATTTGTGCAAGTTTTCAGTGATTTCTTGATAAGGTTATATTCATTTTGGTGAACTAAATTTTTATTGCCATTTTTGTTAAAATCATGTGAAAAATCACATGAATACACAGTCACTGCAAACACTTCAGCATGCTACTAAAGCAACATTTTCAAGTCTGTAGATCTACAGGTTCCTCTGGACAATTAGGCTAGTTTCAAGATAAGATAAAGCCGATATATATCTGACTGAAACCCATCACACTACACCACCAGGTATTCATGAGACTGAATACCATTGAGCAGCATGTAGAGTACTTGACAACTGCTGTCGATGTTGTTTCCTTAAAGCTGGTTTTGTTCTCATGTTCTTATTATTTTTGTAATAGTCACATTCTTGATTAATGCCATTGATTGTTTCGGTTTATCACTGCTTGTTTGCCACGCATGTAATGCCTTTATATTATGCAGCTGTTTAGAACGGTCAGAGGGGGTAATTCATATAATGTGGTGGACAAAAAGTGTAAAACAAGAAAATAAGTTTGTTGTTGTTTTTTTTTTTTGCAGTGTAAACCAATCACTCCAATATAGAATATTACAACGAGTATACAATGTTTGAAATATTTGTAAAATGCAATATACCACCTTCTTTTGAGCTTAAGTTTAATTTACAATTAAAAATATAGCTGCAAGCAGCAATTATCGGGGCCAAGCGCAAGAAGACAATAAGACATGCCAACATGACTGGACGTGTCAGACCAACTGCAGCAAAGAGCAATTAAAGATATTTTAAGATGATTTAAGACAAAATAGCTGAATATTTATAAATACAGTAACTAAAAATATGATTTAATGGATTATCAATTTCGATCAATAGGTGGCGCAGTTAAGAAATTGATGTGATGTGGTCAGAGTGAAGTGACAATGACACATACAAGGTGTCAATATTTCAAGGCATTGCAGAGATAAAGCATGAATAGTCTTTAATTATTTTTTGAATTATTATTAATAATGAATAATAATAAATTTGCTGCTGCGTTATGTATGAAAACGGTTTTGTCTATCAACATGAAATCGGAAACTTTTAGTCGGCACAGTCAGGAGATGATACGATTCGATTTTAGTGAAAAATGTACTACAAACGGTCTCGGAGGAGTTTGAAAAAGTAGGTATTGAATGGAAATCAAGATGGCGGACAGGAAGTTCGGCCAAATACGGCAAATGTGGTATCTATGTTCTCGGCGTTACTGAAGGAATCTATTAAGACCAGTGTCATTACAATAGGCAGATTTATTCATTGTTATAACTAGACCAAAATGTGGCGCAGTCTCAATCTTTTGAGTACCTTAAGGGGATAGTGCTGATGGCACATACTGAGTTTCATAATGTTACAGCAATGCATTCATTAAGTGTAGCATTTTATGTCACAATACTGTATTGAAGTCAATGGCAATTTCATGTTTTGTTCTATTATAGCCACAACAAGAGGGACAATTTCCATTTGGGAGTTATAGACATTTATAGGTTTTTCAAAAAATTAAAAATGGAAGATACATTTTCATGACGGAAAATGACATCATAGGGTGCAAACGAATTGTCTTAACTCTTGAGCAAAGGAATATTTTGCTACTAGCCCTTATGCTTCAAAAGTTATATAAACATGTCCAAATTTTGGACAGTTGATAGCACTAGAGGGATTGAGTTAGAGACTCCAAATTTGCAATGGTGACTGTTCAGAGAGTCCTCTATCAATGCGCCAAATTTTTCCATATTCTTCCATACGAAAGAATAATAGTAAATAGAACTCAGACAATTTAAAGAGGTGTCTATGCGCTTTCAGTGCGACGTATAGAATTGGAAGTCATGTTTTAAGCGTGATCATTGCCTTTTACTTTTGCTCAATTGCACTGTGGAATGTGATTCTCCTCACTCTCACTCAATTTCAATTCATCCCTCAGGTGCTGTTTCAGAGCGCCGAGTCTTGTGAGTTGAGGCCTGTGCTTGCTCAGGTTCCTAAGAGACTGCCCGCCGGTTATGTCATCTCTGAGGGCACGGAAGCATGTACGTTTTGTGGTTTCATTAATCCTTTCATTCAATTGACATGAATTGACCTCGTCTGACTTTCTACAGATTAAGCTTTTCCTTCAGTTGATGTGGTTAATTAAGCTACATCACATAACAGTAGCAAAGTTAATTGCTTTTAAAAAATTAAATTTCTGTCATTATTCACTCACTCAAGTCTCATATCATGTGGGACTTTCTTTGTGACCTTTAAACGGACACAAAGCAGCATTAAAGTATCACAAAAGTCACATGAAAATGAAAGGTCTTTTGTTTCTATTTCACTTGAATGTATTTTTATTTCGGTTTTAGTTTAAGTAATTTTAGTACTTATTTTATTGCAGTTAGTTGCTTTCAACGAATATCTATTTTATTGTATTTTAGCTTTATTTAAATGAACAAAAACATTTTTAGTTTTAGTTATCAGTAATGGTGACACTTTTTATGGCGCAACCTTTTTTAAGCTTGAAAACTTCAGTACCCACTCATTGGTAGACGCATGCCCACAACAATAGATTCAAACTACTTATGGTTTGGGAAAGACATAAGGCTTAGCTGTGGTTACCTGATGTTACTATTTTATTTTTATTTTTTTCACAGTGACCCTCAAAGGCTGTGCGGTCAAACCCGTGGCCTTTACTTCCAGCGACCCTGACTTCGCTGTAAATGCAGATGGAACCATTATCACAGTTCGTGGTTTGGTGATTACAACAAAACGGTTTTATGTACTGGTGCAGGATGAGAGCGGCTTGGATTGGAGGGTAGACATTATGTTGTCCTGTAAAGATGAGGTAAAACTACAGTCTGTATTTCTCAACCATAAACCATATGATCTGTATCAGAAGCATAAGTAATCTATCTCTGCATCTCAGAAGTCCAGCAGTGTGGCTCACAAGCGCATTAAGAGAAGATGGAGACCGTTGCCTTTCTCTTTTATTGAGAATGATAGCCCTCCATTCCCAAAGGACCTGGAGATGGTGAGAGCGAGTAAAATTAGCTACATCTCTACTTAAGTTATTATATAACTCCCTTCCAGTTTCATACTACCTTCCTTGATCTTCTTGTTTTGTTTTGTTTTTTGCTTACTGTACATCGTTGTGTGTCTCTTCACAGATTGCATCTGATTCCTCTGTAAATTACACAGTGTATTATCAGATCAGTGGACAGGGAGTTACGACAGATCCTGTGGGCCTATTCCAGCTCGACGGGAAAAATGGCATGCTGAAGGTGACCAGGGCCGTTGACCGTGAGCAGTACCCACAATTCAAAGTGAGGCTCTATATTCTAGGCCTTATACAGAGAATGGCACAGCAGCTAATGTTTTGGAGTAAGACTACAGCATCAGTACAAATGAATATGTCTGCTTCTCTCGTCCCTCTTGTTGTAGTTTATAGCTCGTGCGTATGACATAAGTGGCAAAGAAGTTGATGAATTTCTGCCCATCACTGTGAATGTGGAGGATAAGAATGACAACGCCCCTGTGTTTATTGGAGGTCGCTTATTCTCTGTAGAAGAACGGTGCAGGGCAGGTAAAGAGACATTTTTACCTATCAAGTCCAGACCGTACAGTATATCACACCAAAATCAAAAGATCAAAATAAGAATTAATTATGTAAAGCCTGTTTTTAGGGCCATTACATTTTTTTTTTTTTTTTACATTATTTTCATAACAATTTGCATCACCGTAATATAAAAAGATGATTTTTCTTACATTCTTATTAATGTATTCTCATAAACACTTTATAGTACTTATACATCACACCACCTTTAATATATATTTTACTTACTACTTTAAAAGTAAAGTAAATATTAAAGGTGCTGAAAAAGACAAATTTACTACTGCTTTTATCAAAATAATTTTTAAGTAATTTAAAATTTAGTTTAACTTTAGTTTCAACTTTAGGAACAATGTTCCCCAAATATAAATGGTCCAAAATATAAACGTAATTTATATATATATATATATATATATATATTTTTTTTTTTATATGTACTCGTTTATTTCTTATTCATGTTTTAATGATATTTTGGGGTGAAATACGATTTTTGTGAGATATCTTTTATGCTAACTGAGAAATGCTGTAAATTATACTAAACCAAACCTGATTTTTTTTTACCATGTTTAAGGATATTGGTATTCTGTTTTTCAGGTACTTTTATAGGACAAGTGAATGCCACAGATAAAGATTTGGCAAACACCAAACACACCTTGATCAAGTTTACTCTGCTCAATGCTACTGACATGTTCTCCATTGACCCTTTTACTGGAACATTGACTGCTAAAACCAACAATTTAAACAGAGAGGTATTTATTTATCCTTTAATAGATCCATGTGTTACTGTGTTATAAGGCTGGTGTTGCATCTACAATGTCTTTCTGTATTCAGTCTGGGAATAATGTATTGTAAATAGTAACGTTTTTTTGTCCTCCCCACTCAGGCTCAGGACAAAGTCTATGTTAACATAGAGATCAGAGATATGGGCGGCGAGCCTGCTGGGCTCTTCAACACAGGAACAATTGTGATTACTCTCACAGACGTTAATGATAACCCTCCTGCCTTTAAAGAGAAGTTGGTATGGCCCTTTTATTGTCTATACAGTAATACAAGAAAACAAGTTAACTACTAAACAAATCAGAAGAAGAATAGCAATTGTAAAGCTAACATTAGTATTTTCATACTTAACATCTACAACTGGAGGCTGTATGTCGTAAATTGTGGTATCTAATGTTTAAAGAACTATTTTTTTTTTTAAACAGTACAAAGCCAACGTCAAGGAGAACCAAGAAAATGTGCTAGTTACTAGGATCACAGTGGAAGACAAGGATTTGGTGAACACCCCCAACTGGACGGCCCTCTTTGAGGTCACCAAAGGAAATGAGAGTGGACAATTCAGGATGGAGACGGATCCCCAAACCAATGAGGGGCTTCTGTATGTCATAAAGGTGAAATAATTAAAAATGTTAGTCTGTAGAGAAAGTTACCAGCATCTGAAAATAACATTTTTGGCAAGAAATAAGCCCCGTATGTCCTTGATGAATCCGTTTTTGCAGAATTTGCACTTTGCTAAGTTCATGTTGCGATAGTTTCTGCTGAGGGTCATAGTCATTATCTTGAAAGCTCTTGTTCAATCTCTGACAGGGTTGTGTTGGTTTTATTTATAGCAGCTCTGCAGGGTTAGCTCACCATTTTAGGGCTGTGTGTGAAAATGCTTGTCTGTTGGATATACATGTGCTGTCCAACCACACCCTGTTATACAAAGTACATCCACCAGACAGGCAAACACAAGTTCTGCTCTTCAAGGCAGAGCTTTTGACAGCTCTTCACAGTAGTCATGCTTTTGAGAACAAGAGTTTTGAGAATTTTGTGTAGAGAATGTTCTCATTCCCCTTATGCTCCCCTTTCAGGGATTGGATTTTGAAAAAACTCCAGTGGTGAAGCTGGAAATAACTGCCCGTAATCCGGTTCCACTGGTTGGGACTAATGCCACCTGGCTCTCTGTGCCATTAGAGCTTAGTGTGGGAGATGAAGATGAAGGACCAGAGTTCAACCCTGACATTCTATATCTTAAAGTCAAGGAGAACGTTCCCAATGGAACCGTCATTGGAACCTATAAAGCTCTGGACCCAGAGACCAAGAACAGCAATGGAATAAAGTATGTTCACTGATGATGTGGGTTTTGTTTTTAGCTAACAAATTAATTCTCTTTAAAGCACCACCATTCGCATTCAGGTTGTCTTTGGTCTTCTGTTCTGTTGCGCTCTGACTAGCAAGAACATGCCTAAATGCTCTAAGACATGAATTTGTAAACAACCTCAATTATAGGTTATAAAAAACTTTATGCCACATTTTGAATGTACTTTCTCACTTTTCTATTCTTTCTATGTGTAAGGTACTATAAGTTGACTGACCCAGGTAACTGGATCACTGTGGTGGAGAGCACTGGAGAACTGAGAACAGCCAACACTATAGACCGAGAATCACCATTGGTCCACCAGGACAAGTACAACATAACCATCAGAGCAGTGGATGAGAGTGAGTATGGACAGTCACATACTTGAATCAAGCTTAAGCCATCAACTTAATAATCTGTGGACATTCAGCACTACACACACCTATGCAGAACTGAAATCTTTGTGTATTTGTGTGTACACTCTGTACCCTTTTGTTCTATGAATAGGGGTGTGTGTTTTCTCTGACTGTTAATGAAAGACCATTTGGTTGGGTGTGGTTGAGTAGAAATAGCTCAAGGCCTCCCGAGAAGTTTTCGTCAGGGTTTTGGCTTGTGATGTAACATTTCTTTCTTTCTGGTGATCAGCATGTCCTGCCTGATAGTACATGTTCTAAACACTGAATGATGTTGAATGAGATTCCAGGAAGAGCTGGAGTACATTCGTCTTGTCTTGAACTCTTATGCGTCATTTATCTTGGTTGCTTTTCTGTAGGTTGCTAATGGCGTTCTGATGGCCTAATTTTATTGGTGGGCTGTGAAACTGGACACAGCTTTTTAAAAACTGATCACAAAAAAAAATTATGCATTTATGTTCGTATAACCTGTTAAAAAGGGGGGATTTTGTCACTTTGTGACACTTAAAAAATGTACAGCTAGTCATAATTGTGAGATGTGAAGCCATAATTGTAAGAAAGTCGCTATTTTGAAAGATTAATTAATATAAAGTCACAATTAAGAGAAATTCCCAATGGAGATAAATTTGTCGTTATAATGAGAAATAAGGTTGCAGTTGTTGTGAGAGATAAAGTCATAGGTATGGGATGTTGTGAATCCATAATTGTAAGTCGCAATTATGACATCGCCTTATTTTTCATTAAGATGACATTTTCTTTGCATTTTTCATGTTTTTAAAGACAAATAATCAAGTCTGATATGGTGTGTGTCTTTACAGCATGGCCAACTACTGTAGTTATATTCTGACAATGTGCCCCTAAATTCACATGGGACTCACTGGAATCTATTTTTCCTCAGGTAAGAAGACAGGAAGGGGGATGGTTATAATCCTGATCCAAGACGAGAACGACAACATTCCTGCGATTCCGGGCACTGACATGGTCATCTGTAGTAAAGGTGATGCGGTGAGCTCAGTTCTGGTTGAAGCTGTGGATCTCGACAAGCCACCGTTCTCCACTCCCTTCATTTTCGAATTTGGAGCAGAGCATGATGGGAAGTGGAAACTAAAGGATACAACAGGTAAGAAAGGATAGAGGGTAGTGATGTTTCTTAAGGGGTCAAGAATTGAATTCATCAGCATTTTCTTTGTTATTATTTCTCAATATTGCTATAACTGGACAAACACAGGCTGATAAACTGAAAGCATGTATTCGGCAGAATAATCACAGACATCATGTCCTCCTGTGATTTAGATTCCTCCGTGGTGCTGGAACAGGTAGTGCCCTTGCCAAACGATCTCTACTCTGTCCCACTCTTGGTGAAGGATCTGCAGGGATTCGGAAAAGAGCAGACCGTGAATGTGCGAGTGTGCTCCTGTGAGAGGGAGGAAAATGGAGTGGGGTTATGTGGGGCTCGAAGTGCCTCTACCTCTTTGGGCAGTTTGGGCATCCTTGCCTTAGTGCTGTCTAGCCTGCTGTTGCTACTGTTATGTGAGTGTGCCCCCCTTCTGGCTATGACCACCATGCATGACATATATTTATATTGCATATACATGCAGTATATTTGCATACATTTACATAAACTTATATTAATATATAGACACACATTTTTAGGTAAGTTTTGTAATGTTTTTTGAAAGAAAAATTCTTATTTTTCTTATTATTTAAAGGGTTAGTTCACTCAAAAATGAAAAGCATGTCATTAATGACTCGTTCCAAGCCCGTAAGACCTCCGTTCATCTTCAGAACACAGTTTAAGATATTTTTGATTTAGTCCGAGAGTTTTCTGTCCCTCCATTGAAAATGTATGTACGGTATACTGTCCTTGTCTAGAAAGGAAATACAGACATCATCAAATTAGTCCATGTGACATCAGTGAAGCATCGAAAATACATTTCAAATAAAAAAATACAAATACAATCATCAGTGTCACTGAACGCGGCTTGACAACAGAACTGGAAGACAATACAATGCTGAATAAAGTTATTTTTGGAGCGAAATGTATTTTTGATGCTTCAAAACATTCTAACTAACCCACTGATGTCACATGGACTACTTTGACGATGTCTTTATTTCCTTTCTGGACAAGTAAAGGGCAGTAGACCGTAATACATTTTCAATGGAGGGACAGAAAGCTCTCGGACTAAATCTAAAATATCTAACCCTTTAAGGCTGCATTAAAATACAGTAACAATTATTTGAATTTAGTTGAAAATGCCATTTATTCCTGATATTGGAATGCTAAATTTTCAGCATTTTTGTGGAAACTGTGATACATTTTTTGCAGGATTCTTTGATAAATAAAATACCCCATACACTTGTGAAGTGAAGTGGAAGTTGAAGTTGAAGTGGAATTTTAACATGGATGTCAGAATTTCTTGGTTTTCTGTCACAACTTTTCAAATTTGATGAACTTTTGGCTTCAGGCTAAAATAAAAACAATTTTCAGAATTGTAATTTTGGATCTGACTCTTTATCTCACTGCCCTCTGTTTTTCTTGCCATATCAGGTCTGTTACTTATCTTCATATGCAGTACTAAGAGAGACAAGCTGTACATCAATGATGATACTGGAACAGGAGGAATGCTGCTGAAATCCAACACTGAGGCTCCTGGTGAAGAAGTGGTAAGAAAATCACCTAATTTTAATTGGTTTAATTAATCGGAGAAATCACAAAGAGATTTTAAGCATATTTGTGTGAATGCTTTTCTCTCTTTAGAAGGATGGAGCTTTGATGATAATTCCTGGGACAGATGCAATGGACGGGTCGCTCCAGAGTGGCGCCATGGTCACTAAAAACGTGACTTCATCCGCAGGAAATATCGGGCAGCAGTTTTTCCAGGGAGGCGGCGTGTACAACACCACCACTCAAGATTTTGGGAAAGAAAATTACTACACATCCGGACGGTATAACAGCCTGTATGGGAACGCCGGAAATTTCCAGAAATTCTCAAATACGAGTGCTCTCGACACATGGAATACTAATGGCCGCTACTTGGAAAGAGTGAGCTAAACTTACATGACATTTTTAATCAACTTAACAATAACATATGGAAAAAAATGTTCACCAACATCTGTACATATGTTTAATACAAATCTAACATAGTAATTATTAGGGCTACCCCTGACTAAAGATTTCAGGAAGAATGTTATAAGTAACATTGCTAACATTGTTCTACATTACAGAGAAATACTAAACCATATTACTGAGCCTTTAAAATATTAATTAAGATCTAGAGCATGCATAAAGTTTGCCGCAATGATTCTGAATGTGTTAGAAAATATCAGAAAGGAGAATCTCTAAACATTTTTATAATGTATCAATGAACTAGTGTTTTCGGAGTCCGGGTTGGCTGCAAACATGAAGTGCTGTTGACTGCAGTAGAGTGGATGCACCTTTAGATAGAAATGGACATTAAGTTAAAGGGTTAGTTCACCCAAAAAAATGACTATTATCTCATATTTTTTACTCACCCTCTTGCCACCCTTGGTGTATATGACTTTCTTCTTTCAGCCAAACACAATCTGAGTTATATAAAAAATACCCTGGTTCTTCCAAGCTATAATGGGAGTGAATGGTATGATTACAGTTTATAAAGTTACAAATATGGATATTTTATTTTGAAGCTTCTTTGAGCTTTAAAATCTCATTTACCATTCACTCCCATTTGAAAGCTTGGAAGAGCCAGTATATATTTTTTTAATATAACTCTTTGTCTAAAAGAAGAAAGTCATATACAACTAGGATGGCTTGAGGGTGAGTAAATTATGGGATCATATTTTGTCATTTTTGGGTGAACAATCCCTTTAATCAGTACGCAGTAAGCTTAATACTAATTTCTTCTACACACCACATAAACACTTGGATATAATGCACCTTATATTGTATATAACGTTAGAGCGAGCGGCCACTTAAAGTGGCTAACATTACGCTAACTACTTGGATGTTTTAAATGATAAGCCACGTTTGAAGTCAATGTATGATAGGCAAATGTTTGGATTTCCTTCCCAACATAATTACCACATAGAGCCGACCGTGACTTTGACTTTTTTTCCTGCAGCCAACCGACAATTTAACATTTGATCGACTATTATGGGGGCAGCCCTAGTAATGTTATCTGACTAGAAAAGTAATGTTATTTACACATTCATTAACACAATAAAGTCATATTTTACATTTTCATGCCCCATTGAAGATGTTTTCATGTGACCCTAATTTTGACCGTTGTTTCGTGACAGAAACTGTCTTACTTTGGAGGGGAGGAGGACGGGAGGTACGCGGACGACCTTCTGAAGACTTATGGTAATGAGGGGGCGGGCTCTCCTGCAGGCTCTGTAGGATGTTGTAGCAACTTGGGTGAACCGGAATCACTGGACTTTTTGAGCACTCTCGGCCCCAAATTCAGACCACTGGCTGACGTCTGCTACACAACAAAATAAAAGCGGAAACTAAAACAAGAGATGACTGAGATGAGAGAGAGAGCTGTATGCTGTTTGCAAGGAGCCGTCGAAGCAGACTGCAAAAAAATCATGGTCTTAACCTGTATTTTTATCTCATTTCCCTGTAAAATAAATATGTAAACATACTCAAAACAAGATGACTTTTACTTGAGAAACAACATTTTCTAAGAACATTTTTTGAATGTCTAAATGCCATTAAATATGAGTATGAAAAAAATGTGTTTGACTCCATAAGATATATTCTCTAGAATAAGTCTATTTTTAGAGAATTTTGCTACTCAAGTACATTTGTTTTGAGTATTGGTTATTTTTTTTACTGGAATTTTTTTTTTTTTTTAGAAAATTACCATCTCAGTGCATGTATTTCTGCTGGATTAATTGGTGTGTCTGTAAAGTTGTTGTGTGTGTGAATGATGCAAATAAGCTTTTCTATAATTGTTTGCTACATTTTGCTCTGCTTTGCAATCTTCTTCCTCAGAGATCTGAGGGACAGTTTAAATATTAGTATACAGAAAGAGACGTTATTGTCTACCTGATAAATTGCAATTCTCAGCCGTGTGAAGTATTACCTGAGTATATTTACAAGACCATGATGAAGTGTGCACATAAACATTTTTTTGGGCAACGTATGGAATTTTAAGCGCTCTTCAGCCCCAAAAGCACTGACAACTGACATCATCTCTGGACGCTAAACTCATCCTTAGGCCATAATGTATTACTGGAGTTTTTGTGTTATTTTTTTACATCTTGCTTAGGCAATTATTTTGAATTTCAAAGAAAAGAAACCAAATATGTTGTATGTAAGTCACTTTATACTTTGAATGAAGATGTAATTGGTAAAAAAAGAAGAAAAAAAAACGCCTAGAAGTACCTTCTTTTTTTTAGCTCTTTGAAATTTCAGTTTTGTCCTGACAGCACATTAAGTTTTTTTTTTTTTTTTTTTTTTTGTATTTGTGGTAAACAACATATGTATTTAGAGGGTTGTTCTGATTGTAGATTTATTAAAGGGATGTTCTTTGTAAATATTTGAATAAAATTCATTACAGACATTTTATTATTGTCTATCTTTACGCTGCTATGGCGGCACAGAAACACATACCATGAAAAGGCAAAGTTACACATTAAGGCTGAACAAAGATGGTAAAAGTGAAGTTACACAGGAGTTCAGTGAAATGAATAAAGATAAACGTAACACGTTATAGGCCTACATACAAAAACACGAAAGCCTCCAGAGAGCCTTCTGTGTGTTGTCAAGTCTGTTAAGGTCATTTATTATCTTTGTGTGTTGAGTGTGAGGAATAAACTGAAAGTACACTATTCACTGATTAGTATGCTAGTGTATGGAAACGTGTTTCTGTAATGGCATGGTATGGCCACGGTGGGGCACAGGAGTGGTTGAAGGGTGTATGAGGACGAAGGGGGAAAAAGAATAAAAACTGTTTACATGCTGAGAGTTGTGTCTTTGAATACAGAGTATAGAGGAACGATCATGGTGTCAGAGACGGATAACCCACGACAGAAAGAGTCTAGTGGTACAGAGAAGTAGACGGAGCTAGTGGAGAGCGAGGCTTCGTGAAGCAATGAAACAGTTGAATTAAATGTGCCGTACGAGTCAAAGCTTCGAATCAATCCGACACTCCTCTCCACTGTGACACCTAGTGGTCACTTGCAGGTGTTGATCTGAAACAACCTTGACAACAAGCGAATACAAATGTGTTTTTATATTATTGGAGCTATTTTTCTAATATGTGAAGCTTGTAACCTGTAGGCTCTTCACCCAGCAGAATGTCATTTTGGTCCTGACAAATGAATAATAAAAGAAATCAAGCCATATCTCACTTCTTAGTTCTTATTAAAAATATCAATTTCTCTTCTAAGGCTGGAAATTTTTCTTTGGTTTCACCAGACCTATAAAAAACATCACTATAAAACATAAACATATAATAAACATACTAACATCATATCAAAAGTGTAATCTGTCCACTCATCACATCACTACAGTTTAGCGTGCTATACACACTGTACACCAGGCCCGGATTGGCCATCTGGCAATTCTGGCACATGCCAGAAAGGACGGTGTGATTTTCTATTGTTTTGGGCCGAGACACAGATAGTTGCGTGTTCTAAACACAGTCAGAGCGTAAAAATACGGGATATTTTTAGGGATGGCTGGCGTGAAAAAGACGTAAGCTTTGCGAGATCCCGAAGCGCAGATGATTCGAAACACTGATCCGAAGCGTGATTCAAAATACCTACGTCACGTGACTAAACGAAGCTTCTAAGTGTTTCATCAGGTGGAGTGCTCCAGGGTTGAAACCCGATAGGCCAAAGACGCTGCGCTTACAAAAGTGTTTGGGAAGTTTGGGGATCCAGAAGGATGTCTGTGTATTGATCTTGTTGTTACACTCAAGGCCCTGAGCGAAAAAGACAGCATGAAGCCGACTGTGCGTGCGAAGCCCGACGGTTATGCAGAGGCTCTGCTGAAATACCAAACCATCCTCACTGCCCAGACGTTTTTACGCATCTTCCAACAAACAACTCCACTTTCCAAGTATTTGCAAACTAGTGGAATGGATTTGCTCTCGGCCCATCGCTTTGTCACAAGCACACAAGACAATCTGAAAAAATTTGCAAGGGCTTTTTAAGGGGGTAAAGACAGCAACAGACGCATTTGTGCAATGGGCCAATGGAGAATTAAATGTGTGTGAGACAGACGCAGAAGTGGAACATGCGCTGCCAAACCGGAGACCAAAGAAGACAAAATGCCAGGCGAGTTATGTGATGACACAACCATATCAGATGCTGACAGCAAGTATGAGGTACAAGTGCACAATGTGCATATTTTATTTATTTATTTTTTTCGTTTTTTGGAGCGAGCGGGAGGGAGGGAGGGGGGGACGGCGATATGGAGCGCAAAGGAAACTGCGTGCGTTGAGCGCTGAACGGGGAGCGCTTTATGAACATTTTGTGACTCGCGAGCAGCGCCAGGGACAGTGATTTATACGAGGTTGAACTGGCCGTGTGACAGAGCGGGCATAAGATGGACAAGAACGCAAGTTCGCGGGTGAATTTAATAACGCGGAGCGTTATTAACCAATGGGCTATTATATGCACGCATAAATTCCGCATTTGACGCAAGGATGCTCGTCCATTTCCGGTTGTGGAGATTAAAGCGGAGGAAAACCGAGGAAAACGGGATTATGGCAGAGTCTTCAAAATGTACTGTCCTCCAGTCTTTGAAATGAAACGTACATACGTTTAGATGTAATTTTATATATAGGCCTAGTTATATTTATTTAATATAATTTTTAAAAGAAGCATAAACACAACGAGGGGGGTCTGTTTTATCTGTTTTTGTGACTAACGTTTCTTTAGTAGGCTATAACCATGGAGTATAAAATTCAATATAAATTCTCGGTATTGCATTGGACTCTACGATCGGCGGAAGTTATCGAGCATCCCTAATGCTTCACCGGAAATACCGTCGTGCATAGAGCCTGATCCATATATAAGGATTATAAGGCGCACTGTCCTTTTTTGAGAAAATTAAAGGCTTTTAAGTGCGCCTTATAGTGCGGAAAATACGGTATTTATTCGATTGTGGTTTGGTCATGGTCCTTTTTCTTTATTAAGCAGTTTGCTTGTGTCTGCGTGTGTTTTTGGCCGCTGTGCCATGCTCCTGTGCGTGTGTTTTTGACCGCTGTGCCATGCTCATGTGTGCATGTGTTTTTGGCCGCTGTGCCATGCTCGTGTGCGTGTCTTTTTGACCGCTGTGCCATGCTCGTGTGCCTGTGTTTTTGGCTGCTGTGCCATGCTCTTGTGCGTGTCTTTTTGGCCGCTGTGCCATGCTCGTGTGCATGTGTTTTTGGCTGCTGTGCCATGCTCGTGTGCGTGTGTTTTTGGCCGCTGTGCCATGCTCGTGTGTGCGTGTGTTTTTGGCCGCTGTGCCATGCTCGTGTGCCTGTGTTTTTGGCCACTGTGCCATGCTCGTGTGTGCTGTGAGGGTCCGAAATAAACTTTTTGGCTCACCTGCCACGAGGACTGGTAGATGAAAAAATCCACCAGCCAAGCATATTTTTTTTTACCGGCCAAAATAATAAACAGCCTTTTTGTGTCACATATACATTAATTTATATATACACTCTTAGAAGGAAAGGTTCTATATAGAACCTTAACAGGTTCTATCAGCGCTACGTATTTGGAACCCCTAAAAGGTTCTATTACTCTTAAAAAGGGTTCCTCTGGGTTCTATGTAGAACCCTGGGGTTCCGTACTTGGCCAATTATATCAATACTGTAGCGCAAAATATTGCAATATTTAGGTTAATTAAAAAAATAATTATACTAATATTTATATTATTAGTATAATAATATGGCCCACCCCTAATAGTAGATCTGCCACTGTGTAGCTGATGGTTGTATTCCATTAAAATGGCTGACATGTGGCTAGGGGTCACGTGACTGGGAGATCCCTATAGAGTAGGGGTGGGCAACTTCAGTCCTAGATGTTCATTGTCCTACAGAGTTTAGCTTCAACCCTATTCATACACAACTGAACAAGGTAATCAACGTCTTCAGGTTTACTAGAAAGTTACAGGCAGGTGATTTTTTTCATGGTTGGAGCAAACTGTAGGACAGTGGCCCTCCAGCACCAACGTTGCCCATCCCTGCTATAGAAGAACGATACAGTTTCTACCACGGAATACAAAATTCTTTACTTTACTTAAAAAAAAAAAAAAAAAAGTAATTGCGACATTTTATCTCACAAATCTGCCTTTTTTTCCTTGCAACTGTGATTTTAAATCTCACAATTTGGACTTTATAACTCTCAATTGAATATTTATACTTCACAATTCAGAGTAAAAAGTCAGAATTGCAAGTTTATATCTTGTCAATCCTGACTTTTTTTCTGCATTGTAAGATATGAGGAAAAATGTCGCAATTACCTTTTAATTGCAAATTTATATCTCACAATTTTTCCTTTCACTTCTGCTAAGTTAAGTGAGATCAATTATTGTCCAGGATTAGATTTTCTCCCACAGCTCTCTGATCTAAAGCCTTTTGCTTTGTGCGAAACAGGGCTGTTAACACGCGGTGACTGAGGTGGTGTTGCTGAGTGCGAATGTCTGTTGTTACTATAATATCCTCAGTGTCCCTGAAGTCCAAGCCTAACATCAGTGCCAGTGCCATGAAGTATCTCGCCAAGGTTTCGGCTTTAGAAAATGGAAGAATTGATTCAGCATTCAATGAAAAGTCTGAGTCAGGCAAATTGCCAAGTTCATTCTTTATTCAAGGAAACACACAGAGTCTGAATGCAAAGAGGCTTTCTTTAAGCTCACAGAGAGTTTAAAGCAGAAAGGAATCATGTTAGTCTCAGATTTCATAAAGCAGGTAACCAGAGAAGGAACTGAAGCGGTTTTGTGAGTCCCTCTTGCCTACTTCACTCTTATTCAGGCGAACATACACTCGGTCTCCAGCTTTCAGCTGCAGTACTGCACTGTTGCTTGCAGTATCTGTATGAAGGACATCCACTGCCGCTGCACTCGCCACAATCTGGAACACACAACCCCGGAAATTATCACATTTATTACACTGACTGCACAAAAAGTGTCCTTAATATTTTATTACGTAGCAGTCTTTTACAAAAGCAACAAGGCACCATGTTTTCAAACAGGGTCCAGTAACAGTGCTATAGGGCCAGCAGAAAATGTGAATTTATATATATATATATATATATAATTCAATTGTAGGGCTTTCGAACTTGCCTTCAAATGTCTTATGGTCATTTAAAATATTGACCAAATTTGTGATTTTTTTTAATTAATTTTTTTAATGTTTTTCATTCTGGTTTGAATTCAAGTGCATTTTTATCAGAAACAAATTGATACATATTTATGCTCATTTAAAAATTATAAAAAATAATTTGAATTGATTTGATGTAGAAACCTAAAGCTAAACATTTTCAAACATTATTTCAATATATTTCATAATTCAAAATAACAATATAAATAAGATTTCCCAGACATCATTTTAAAACCTTGCTTTGGATTTAG